GGGAACTCGCAGACGCGGGTGTAGACGCCCGGCTTGCCCGGCTGCCCGCAGACCTGCATGCCCCACGAGACGATGCCCTGCAGCTCGTCCCTGCAGACCAGCGGCCCCCCCGAGTCACCCTGGCGGGAGAGAAGAACCCCGTGAGATGGCCCCATGGTGGGCGGTGGTCCACCAACATCCCCTCTCCAGCTCCACCCCATGAGGAATCTCCAGGGCCCATGGTTCTCCCTTGGGTATCACCACGACCTATGGGATCACGGCGCGGAGACCACCATGGCCTATGGGGTCAAGGCATGGAGACCACCATTGTCTATGGGGTCAAGGCATGGAGACCACCATGCCCTACAGGGTCAAAGCATGGAGATCACCACGACCTAATGTGGTCAAGGCATGGAGATCACCATCGTCTGTGGGGTCAAGGCATGGAGACCATCCATGGCCTATGAGGTCAAGGCATGGAGACCACCACAGCCTATGGGGTCAAGGCATGGAGACCACTCCAACCTACAGGGTCAGGGCATGAAGACCACCACAGCCTATGGGGTCTAGGCATGGAGACCACCATGCCCTGTAGGGTCAAGGCATGGAGATCCCCACGACCTATAGGATCAAGGCATAGAGACCACCATGCTCTGGGGGACCAAGCCATGGAGAACACCATGCCCTATAGGGTGCTGGAGCTGTGGCCCAGGAGGTCCCTATAGCACTGGAGAGGTCCATATGGTACTGTGGGATCCCCATAGCACCCCGGGTGGGCTGTAGAGTTCTTGGGGGGTCCCTATAGCACCCAACGTCCCTATGGAACCCAGGTGGTCCCTAGAGCACCCTGGGGGTCTTCACTGCGCCCCTTACAGCACCCAGGGGTTCTCGCTGGCACCCGGGGTGCGGTATGGTCCTCGGGGAGGTCCTGTAGCACCCAGAGGAACCTATAGCACCCAGGGCGGTGAAGGGTCCTTGGGGAGGGGTCCCTATAGCACCCAACGTCCCTATGGAACCCAGGTGGTCCCTAGAGCACCCCAGGGGTCCCCATGGTGCTTGGAGGGGTCCCTACTGCAGCCCATGTCCCCAGGCCCAACACACCATGGAGATGGGTTCCTCTCCCGTTGGGTGCCCCCACCCCGATTCTTCTCCGCGGGGGGTGTCTCCGCATGGATAGGGGGGGGGGGGCCCCCCGGACCCCCCCAGACCCACCTGGCAGGAGTCGGTGCCCCCCGATCTGCGGCCGGCGCAGAGCATGTTCTTGGTGATGCCTTTGGGGTAGAGCTTGGAGCACTCCTCGTTGGGCATGGTGTAGACCATGCCGCACTGGAGAATGTCGGGGAAGTACCCTGGGGAGAGTGGGACACGGTCGGTGGGTGGGGCAGACGCCTCAGCCCAGAGGTGGGGTCCCACCCTCTCCCTCCTAGGGTGACGTGGGCGGTGACAAACCCACCATGGAAGATGCCTTCAAGATGAGGGCTGAATGGTCACCTCGGGGTGATTTGGAGCCTCCTGTGGTCGTGGGGTGGATCTGGTGGAGATCAGATACCTTCACAGTCAACCTGTGGACCACTGATGGAGCCAGGCCTCCCTCGGGGGAGATGTCCTCAAGATGCTGAGATGTCCTCAAGATGCTGAGGTGTCCCCAAGGTGCTGAGATGCCTCCAAGATGCTGAGATGTCCCCAAGATGCTGAGAGGTCCCCAAGATGCTGAGAGGTCCCCAAGAGGCCAAGATTCCCCCAGACCTTGAGGTGCTTCCAAGCCCCTGAGATGCCTCCAAGATGCTGAGATCCTCCCAGGATGCTGAGAGCTTCCCAAGGTGCTGAGATGCCTTCGAGACCCTGAGATGTCCCCAAGATGCTGAGATGCCTCCAAGATGCTGAGATCCTCCCAAGACACAGAGATGTCCCCCAGGTACTGAGATACCCTCAAGACCCTGAAATGTCCCCAAGGTGCTGAGATGCCCTCAAGATGCTAGATGTCCCCAAGACCCTGAGATGTTCCCAAGACCCTGAGTTGTCCCCAAGATGCTGAGATGTCCCCAAGATGCTGAGATGCCTCCAAGATGCTGAGATGTCCCCAAGAGGCTGAGAGGTCCCCAAGAGGCCAAGATTCCCCCAGACCTTGAGGTGCTTCCAAGCCCCTGAGATGCCTCCAAGACGCTGAGATCCTCCCAGGATACTGAGATGTCCCCAAGGTGCTGAGATGCCTTCAAGACCCTGAGATGTCCCCAAGACACTGAGATGCCTCCAAGACGCTGAGATGCCCTCAAGATGCTGAGATGTCCCCAAGAGGCTGAGATGCCCTCAAGATACTGAGATGCCTCCAAGATGCTGAGATCCTCCCAAGACACGGAGATGTCCCCAAGGTGCTGAGATGCCTTCAAGACCCTGAGATGTCCCCAAGACGTTGAGATGTCCCCAAGATGCTGAGATCCTCCCAGGATACTGAGATGTCCCCAAGGTACTGAGATGCCCTCAAGACCCTGAGATGTCCCCAAGATGCTGAGATGCCCTCAAGATGCTGAGATGCCTCCAAGATGCTGAGATCCTCCCAAGACACGGAGATGTCCCCAAGACGTTGAGATGTCCCCAAGATGCTGAGATCCTCCCAAGACACAGAGATGTCCCCAAGGTACTGAGATGCCCTCAAGACCCTGAGATGTCCCCATGTCCCCTGCGCCCCCACCACCACCTGCCCCGTGAAGGTCTCACCACCTACCTTCTGGGCTGCTGGTGCTGCCCCAACCTGACACCACGCACTCGGTGTTGGGTGGAGGACACCTCTTGGGCAAGGCCACGGGTTGGATGTGCTCGGTGAAGTGGACCGGCTTCTGGAGCTTCAGCAGCATGATGTCACTGTCATGGCTGTTGGCGTCGTAGTTGGGGTGGATGAAGGACCTGGCCGAGTTGACGCACTGCTCCGTCCCTTCCTTGGTCTTCAAGCTGTGGTCGCCCATCCGGATGGGGATGGGTCTGGGGTGGAGAAAGGACCACGGAGAAGTTCTCTGGTGGACGCGGCCCGTGACCAGGTCCACGCGGTGGAGTTTGGGGAGAAGCCACCCAGAAGACGCTTCCCCTCCCCTCATGGAGATCTTCAACCAATGGGGAAACCGAGGCCGGGAGTGAGTCCTCCTTGGTCCAAGCCAAGGTGGAGAAGACCCAGCTCCCACCTGAGGACCCGGGCGGTGGGAGGTCCTCGCCACGCCCAACTTTGGGGTTTTTCACCCGTTTTTCTCCCCGACAGATCTGCGTGGTCCTCCCTGCCCCAGTCCCACCAGTGCGGCGGGGTCCTCTAACTGGTTTGTCCCCTCCACCCAAACTTGTTGTGGTCCAAGCCTGGTCCCACTTCACGGAGCTGGTGGGAATGGGGAGAGGAGGACACCCCGCTCCAGACCCAACCCAGTTAGAGGGTCATACTGGGAGCCCAGTGGGTGGTCAACCCGGTTAGATGGCCATACTGGGAGCCCAGCTTGATGGTTGTGGTGGTCAGCCCGGTTGGATGTGGTGGCCATCCCAGTTAGGTGGTCATACTGGGAGCCCAGCTGGACGGTTGTGGTGGCCAGCCCAGCTAGATGGCCATACTGGGAGCCCAGTGGGTGGCCAACCCAATTAGATGGTCATACTGGGAGGCCAACGGGATGGTTGTGGTGGCCAGCCCAGTTAGGTGGTCATAGTGGGAGGCCAACTGGATGGTCGAGGTGGCCAGCCCCGTTAGATGGCCATACTGGGAGGCCAACTGGATAGTCACGGTGGCCAAACCAGTTTGATGGTCATACTGGGAGGCCAACGGGATGGTTGAAGTGGCCAACCCAGTTAGGTGGCCATAGTGGGAGCCCATCATGACCACCCCAAACCTTGAGGTTCTCCACCCACATCAAGACAAATCCCACCCACGTCCTACCACCTCCAGGGCCACCTCCAGCTCCTGGTGGAC